AGCGGCCGGCCCAAGGGGCAACTTCCCCGCCCCCAAATTCCCACTTCCCGGAGGACCCCGGGATTTTTGGCCAAACCCAAGCCCCCCCCTGGAACCTGAATTCCTTCCCCCACTCCCGGGGGTTCCGGGGGAAGGGGGTTTTCTTTTCCGGCAACCAGGGCCCCCCGTTGGTGGACCCGGGGGACCCCCTTTTGGGGAATTGGGGCCAGCTTGGGGGTTGACCCCCAAACGGGGGGGCGGCCGGGGGTGAAAGCCTTGTTCCCCCCCCGGGGGGCCTTGGCCAAAAACCGGGGGGGGGGGGGGGCAGTTCTATGTTCGACGTGAAGAAACTCAAGCTTTTATTTGTGGTGGTGAGTTTGGAAGACATACCTATTCGGCTTCAAATCCGAGTAAATGATGCTCTCGACTAAAATGCAAGACCGTAAGCCCGCAGCGGGGGTATGCGACGAAACGGGGGGGGGGGGTTCAGTTTTGTTACAGAAGCGTAGAAGCTCTTCTTGGTTGTGAGTTTGTTCGACATGCCTGGTCAGCTTATAAGCATGTCGAGCAAACTCACCAACCGAGCATCTACCCTCGTGCTTGTAACTTTTCTCTTTTCACTGTTTCGTCTGCTTTCAAAATCCACACGTCACTCGCGTCCACCTTACCGGGACCTCTCCGAACGTAAAAACTGACCCCTGCTTGTCGCCGGCCCTCACTGTGGGGCACGTTATTTTCTTGCCATTTTTGTCAAGATCATCATTTTGTCTGGCTTTTATCAGACGAAATGGTGATCTTGACGAGGATGGCAAAAAAGATAATGTACCCCGCAGCAGGGGTCTGCAAACACCGGAGGCAGTTACGTAGAGAGTTGAGGGTGAAAATCTTAAGATTTTGTTGATAATTTTATTTAGTCGGTGTGCACAGTCGGCTTTAAACACGCCTTCATGATGATGCTGAGGACCAAAATGGCCCAAACCAATCTGTCCCAAGAGAGAAGGGTGGTACGATTGCTCTCGTAACTTGGGCGGTTACACGTCAATTGGTTCGGACGGCAGACATACGTTGTTGGTGCGACCCTGGCTAGTTTTTACTTTTATGATGGCTCGAACCTTCGCCAAGGGTTCGACTACGCGGCTATTAACAGTTACCACCATGCTTGCTTAGAGTCCTCAACCGAAACCCATCCATTGATCGCGCTGAGACATCGCCCAGTGGGTCACGCCAACAACGGAGACGGACCAACCAGGGGAAGGATGTTCCTGTGTGTTCGATCGACTACAGTACTACTTTCCTTGGTGCGATGAAACTCACCACACGGTCGGTTTCGAGGTATCCCACTTTCTCTACCAGCGCTGGCGACTGGAAGGGAAGGCCGAGGACAAATACCGCGGATGCGTGCAGTGCAGTCGAAACAAAAGTACAAAGATCCGGGACGGGGGGGGGTCAGTTGGCGGGTCAGGCAGGCGGTGGGTTAGGTAAGGGCTCGGGCGGTGGGCGGGCCGATTGCAACAACTCAAGACTATGTTTCTGGTGTCGTGGCGTACACGATGTTGTCTCCTGAGCCGGACAGCACTTCGAGTTTACTTGGGCGTTTGCATCCGCAGGCTTCACCCCCCCGCGGCTTTCCGCCGTCCGCCGCACCTGTACCCTGCCCGAACTGAGGAACAGGTCCACCGCGAGCTGGCCGACATTTCCCGTGCTGACCACCGGAACCTGACATGAAGGCGGCAAGAGTCAGCAGTAGAACCGTGTAGTCGGACAAGAAGGGATGCGACAGGTTGTGAAGTCAGCGCTGGTGGCCGTGTTAGAGCACGTACGTGGTGCGAATAGCACAGCAGCAGCGGCGTTCGGGAATAGATACTGCCACGTTCACGGCGAACCTCTCTCTCTCTCTCTCTCTCTCTCTCTCTCTCTCTCTCTCTCTCTATCTATCTATCTTTCTCTATGCATATGAGCTGTGAGCAGAACTAACCGGGGGTGACGCTGGATACCACCCCCTTGATACTAGCGTTTGCCCAATTTCTCACACATAGGCAGGGTGGTTACTGTTTTTGATGGCGAAAAAGGCACCGACGGATGCGTTTCCTTGAAGAGTCTTGATAAAATCAACATAACAGAGCCTCCGGGTGTCGCAACCCTCTTTCGACCTTCGACTTGTCGACTGTTGGATATTCTCACAGCATCGACAGATTACTGCAACAAAGAACTTTCAGACAGACGGAGCGGGGAGTTTTGGGGGTTCAATAGTTGCTATGGATTCGATTTGGTGGTATCAACTTTATTACCACATATTGCAGGATTGATGGTGTGGGTGTCTACAGTCTACAAACAGGTGGTTGTGGTTAACGGCTTCTCTCTTTTCTTTTCCTGTGTATAATCAAGTCCTTTTCCCCGGCTTCCACCGTCGAGTGTTGGATCAGTACGGACATACGAGGGTACTGGGTACAGAGAGATCGGAACGGTTTTTAATGTGAAGACAACAACAACAACAATGCGAACCGGCTTCCACGCCTCGAGTACTTCCACGCCACATCCAGAGATGCCATACCCTTCATCAGAGATACCAGACCCTTCAGAAATACCATATTCTTCCGAGCTACCACGCTCCACCACAAAGTAAAGTAGATATAGGCTACCACGCCTGCCTATCGTTTCTGTATTTTACCGTTGAGCGGCTTCCACGCTGCTGGCTCTTTTATTTCCCTACCACGGGACGCCGCGCCTGGGGCACAAGCCTTCGCTATAATATTGTCATCTTCCATAGGGCACAAGCTACTCAACATCAAACAACATCGACGTTGGCGTGGAGAAAGTCGGCCAGGCTAGTTACTTCTGCTGTGCATCCACCTGGCCACAAACAGCAACGCTGCCGCTCGAGATTGCAAGAACATGGGCCACACACAGCACACACAGCACTTCTAGAGACATTGCACGAACGGCAGTTTGCCCGTACAATACAAGTGACTGCTGCCGTGTTGACTGACTGGCTCTCTCCGTTTGTGCCGCACACGTCAACCAGCAAAAAAAAAAAAAAGTGGCCGGGAGGCGATCATCGCACAACCTCACCAACTAAAAAAACACCGGCTGCTCCGCAACGTCATAACACACGAGATAGCCATAGAGACACCTCTACAAAAGCACACTGTTTGACTGTTTGTTTTCAAGTGCACTGCAGCAAGGGAGTAGACTACAGATTTGCACACTACGCCATAGACCTGCTTATTTCCACCGCCTCTCATTTTTGAATTCGGCAGATAAATATTTGCATAAGTCCATCATCGATGCCCGTGTTGATCTTTGAACACTCACGATGAGGGTATCTCCATGGAATGACAGGTCTCGCTCAACCTCTTTAGCTGGAAGAAACAGCATCCTTCGTATCTTCCTCCTCTTTTCCAGGTCGTCTCTGCTATCCGGCTGTACGTGGGTCGGGAGTAGGTGGTGAGCGAGTGGCGGATGGTGCGCAGAGCTCCTCTGATCTTCAAAAGGACGGTGTTCTAAAAGCTGTTTAATGCTCTTGGACGGTGTTCCCCATAAAAGCTGTTTTAATGCTCTTGAACCTGATCCGCTTGTGGATTTCTGCTGTTCCCTCTTGAAGCCGGTGCTGTTGCCATTGCTCTCCCCACCTCTCTCCTCTCTCTCTATACACCTAGCTAAGACCGAGTCGCTCATCAAGAACAAAGCCATGGTTCGAGGAACTGCCAGTGCTCTGAGCGCGGTGGCGTGTGTGGCGTGCCTGCTGCACAACGTTGCCGGCTTCGTTGTTGGACCGACCCCCACCGCTCGCGGGTCCTTCACACGTGTCAACCGGGCCAGCTCCGCTGCTGCTGTGTCCCGAGCTCCGGGCACCTTGGCGCCGGCGGCGGCTGCTCGCACCCAGGTGGGACATGCCTCGGCGGTGCTGCGCTCGTCTAGTGCTGGGCGGGAGATGACGATGGCTGCCGGAGGGAAGAAGACATGTATTATCACCGGAGCCTCCTCAGGTGTGTGCTACGTAGAACGACTGCAATGTACAATGTACAGAGAAAAGAGCGAGCGGTGAAGGAATATGCTGCCGCCGATTGTATGTGCTGTCATCCTGTTCAGTCCATTGTGTGGAACGTGTGTACATGGTCGGCGCAATGACGAGAGGGACTAGGTGCAAACTGGATCCGGTAGAAGGACACGGATTCGTGGTAGGCGTGAGGTCTTGCTGGCAAAATCGCATGAAGGACGGCGGGCGGCTCGATTATGATCGCCGTTTTTTGTGGCGGCGTGATTTTTTTCTGGCCTCTCCGCGGGATCATGAGAGAACACTCCTTACCAACAACAGCCTGTTTCCAATCGTGACTGCTGTGCTGTGCCATCAAGCGCCTGGTTAAGAGCCGTTGGGATGTTGCTTTGCCCCAACGCTCCGTTGGGGAAGTGGTGTGCTCGAGGTCGGTGTTTTTATGTTTCGAGGTGCGGCCCAAAAACAACTTCCCACTCTTTCATCAAAATGAGATTATTCATGTTTTACTTTCAGAGGCGGGTCGATTCCCACAACTACGATTTTTTGACACAAACAAGAGGAGTCTGTGGGTACGGAACTCTATTGAAATTGTAGTGCGTAGCAGTCTGCCAGGTTCAGCGTTGCTCTATGATAGAGCGCGGTGTTGCACGGGATGTTGTCGCGATCACACCCTCATGTACAGGTTGCCGCCTATTGCGAGAATCTTTCACCCGCGAATCCCGCCCGACCCCGTCACCCTTCGTCACCCAACAAGAATCTTGTCAAATTTTACACTATGAGGCAGCCTACAATGTAGAAATACTTCCCTTCTACAAGTTAGTCTACACGTCCGGCGCCGTTGCTCTTTTTACAGCCGCCCATCTTGCCACCCGTGCTCTGAGGCGCCGTAGACAAACAGTCTAACGCACTCTCCGTGCCGTGACTTCGTGTCTACCTAAGCAAGGCTAACACCGCCGTGTACCTGACTTGATTGGAGGCCTACCGCATCTTCATTGCTCTCATGCTTTAGTGCTGGGTGCGGTCTTTTTTTTTCGCTCAAGGGCATCTAAAGATCCTTCGCGATAGATTCTTGTATGCATATCTACACAGCCACAGAATCCTGGTCCGAGAACGACCGGATGTTTGAAGCTCGTTTTCGTTGGGCAAATGCCGACCATCGCCGCGTGGGCAAATAAACGCTTCCAAGTTGTGCTAGCCGGTAAATATTTAGCAGCGCAAACAGCACGAACGAACGGTGTACGTAAATAGCATGCTGGTGTCGCGAAATTCGAGGCACGTCTTCTTCTCGAGAGCTTAAGGGGCGTTCAACCCAACCCAACGGTGAATTGGGGATAAGGCGAGAGGGGGAGAGTATGATAAAAGCACATCACAAACGTCTGCGTGACCAAGAAATAAATATTCCCGACTTGAGTTTTAGGAACACTCAGATTCCTGGCCAGAGTAATGACTTGAAATTTCGGTTCGACCACCAAAACTTTGGCGTTCACAGCGTCACCACGGCAAATAAGCACTGCTGCTGCTTTTGCTGCTGCTGCTGCTGTATACCATGCGCATGTCCAGCACAGTAAGCCGGGGACCGAAGCATGATGGTGTTTGCGTGTCCCACAATCCGGTGAAACATTGGCGTTTTTCCCGAGGTTGTGGGTAATCAGTTCAACCCAGCTTCCAATTGAGGACATGACACGGCGAGAGCGGAGAGCAGCTCCAATCAATGCCTTAGAGATAGATCCCTCACAGGCTCCTCCGCCGATGTGTTCTCAAACAGCGTTGCTCTCACCTCTCACTTCGAATGCCCTAACCAAAACCCGGTCTCTAAACACTTGCTTCCCTGGGATGTCGTCATCGGGCATTAGTTGTCGACGAAAAGAAATCTGACATTAAATGTCGGCATGGGACCCGCCGAATATTACTTTTGTGTTACACTTACACGAGGAATATTTCCCGCGCAGGGGACCTTGCTCCGATGGTGCTTTCTCTCCGCGAAGAATATTTCGTCGTTACACATGTTGAGTTGTGTTCATTCCCATTCTAAAATACCATGCCATCGATGTTGGCCAATTCAGCACACGCGTGAACGCTCCTGGGTTTGTGAAAACGCCCTAGTTTTTCACCGGGTTTGAGACACTTTCATCTGGACGCTCACTGCCTTGCGGTGTGCACGCCGGGAACGCGCACATATCGTACAGCGCTCGCTTTCTTGCCGTGGGGAAAGGTGCGTACGTTTTTCGGTTCTAATTTCAAGTTGTTTCTTGTCAGGGTTCCGAGTGTTGATGTGTTGATACACTGCAGTCTGAATTGTGTATTTTTTTTCTGTCATGCAAGACGTTCTGAAGGATCATGCTCTCCGTCTTGCCTCACCCCCAGTTGAGCGCTGGGTTGAACGCCCCTGAAGCTCTCGAGAACACGTGCCTCGTATGAACGATAACAGCCAGGCTCTTTTGGCGTTGTGAGACCCAGTGTGCGTCAAGGCGTTGAGACTTCCTTGTTGGTTGCGTTCGTCCCCGCAACAAATCGTTAATCGCCCCAATGGGCGTCAATCCAAACCAGGGTTGCCTCAGAACGTTACCCCCCCCCCCATGTCACCACGTAGTCCAAGTTCACGCCTGTGAGGGAGTATTTGCCTGTGTTCAGGCGTGGGAGGTTACTGCTGTACCAGGAACTGACCGGGAAACACAGCCAAGCCCCTACCATCAATTTTGCCGCTGTATTTTATTTATGTAGAACACCATGGTGCGTGTTTCTGTAAACCAGGAGTAAATCGGACGCTCTCCCTGGTCCCTCTCTATTTCTCCATGACAGTGCAAACTCCGATATACTGTATCATGAAGAAGAGGAAGACAGAAGGAGAGAGAGATTCAAATAGATGCAATTCGTGAAGACAAACCCCGGACATACTTCCAACCACGACCCTACTGCTGCTCGCAGTACGTCATCTGTCGTGGTACAATGCAGCATTTATCCTGAAACACGAACTTGGACTTGTTTAACGGCAGGGATCGGCCTGGAGGGAGCCAAGTTCCTCGCAGCCTCGGGAGACTGGCACGTGATCTTGGCCGTCCGATCCTTCGCGAAGGCCGAGGCAGGGGCCAAGGACTTGGGCATGGACCCCTCGACGTACACGGTGATGAACCTGGACCTGGCCTCGCTCAACAGCGTCAGGAATTTCGTGGCGGAGATCAAGGCCGCCAAGGTTAAACCCGACGCGCTCGTTTGCAACGCTGCCGTCTGGCACCCCAAGGTATGCGTAGTAGATTTTATGTTTCATGTTTTGAACGTATACATGCAACGACTATCCATTCGAGATATAACCACAGTACACATATCTCTCGTGGTGGCCTATGCTAGCGTTGTTTTTGCGGCGCGGCGCGTGCATCGGGTCGGGTTGTTGGCTTTTTTCGGATAGAACTTAGAGGCACCTCAGCGAAATACGCGAGGGCTGTCGTCGATGTTTCAAGTCTTGTGCGGTGTAGGCTTCGGGTCCGGCAGTTACTTGCGTGGAGTTTGCCTGGCCGCAAGTTCCTCCGTAGCCGTGCTCTATGAGGTATGGATACTTTGCGAAAGCCTAGGCCCAACAAGGGTCTGCCCCTGCTCACTCCTGCTGTCATGGAAATGCAATACAGTCGAAGGTCTGGTGTCAACAGCAAGCGAGTCTTGGTTCGCTCCTTCTAACCCCCAGTTGACCTTCTCCCTCCACCCGCTGCATGCGTGGACTGCTAGAGCAAACGCAATCCTCTTGCGTAAATACCGGAGACCGTGGGAGGAGAGAGAACACAACGAAGAAACCTACCCTCCTCCATGATCTTACAAATACCCGTATCCTCCCACCGCGTCTGTTTTTCTTCCTCTTTCGATTTTGTTGTTCTTGTTGAGGTCCGGAGGACAACAGCCGCGACGGACGGCCGACTGACCCTACAATACCCTCGCCTTTTATTTTCTTCTTCTTTTCTATTTCTCCCTTTTGTCGTGTTGTTGTTGTCGTTGTCCGCAGGACAAGAAGCCGCGACGGACGGCCGACGGGTTCGAGGAGGCGATCGGCGTGAACCACCTCGGGCACTTCCTGCTCGTGAACCTGCTCATGGACGAACTGAAGCAGTCCCGCGTCGTCTTCATCGGCACGGAGACGCACAACCCTGGAAGCATCGCGGGAAAGATTCCCCCCCAGGTTAGTCTCTCCTTCCTCTCGAGAGGACGGGTGGTTAATGGTCTAACATCCGCTCAAAAGGCATGGAAAAAAACATGAGAGTACGCGTCCCCCCGTCCCCCGTCCCCCCAGGTTAGACTAGTCGACGTTATTGTAGACGGGGGAAAAAAACGTTGTTGCGAGACACCGGAGGGCAAGAGCAAGAGGGTTCGGACGCAGGGTTAAGGAAGGCTGTCATCGGCACGTGACTGGGGCTGTGTGAGCTGTTGACGCTGATTTTCTTTGACTGTGTGTGTCGTTTGAACACGCAGGCCCACCTGGGAGACCTGGACGGGCTCGCCAAGAACGAACCGATGATCGACGGTGTCAAGTACGAGCCCACCAAGGTAAGCTTTTGTAATAAATAGTGTTGTTTTGGAAAGTATTCATAAGAGCATTAAAAGAATGATTAACCCGCGCGAGATACTGTAAACAACGACAGCAGTCGAAGGGTAGTCTTATGTGTTCTAAGTCTGTTGCAGTGCGTGGGAGAAAACCCGTCTGGATACTGCGGTCTTCACGCTGAGTCTATGTAGTGTTCGCCACATCTGGTTGACTAGTTCACACTCGCACAAGTAAATATTGAGAGGCGAAGAACTGTCAGTTTGTCGAGTAGAGTTGGGCGTATTGGGTCGAGTTTTGGTCGAAGACGGCAGCGATGGTTGTTGTGTTTACGGCGACAAAGTGAGCCACCGGGCGCGTTCATCGTGACTTCCACCTGTCAAAGGTTCTCCCGGACACGCAAGTTGTGTAGTAAACGTCAAGAAACCTGTAAATAGCTGAGGCCAATACCCGCTTGTCTGCAAGACGAGAGTGCAATTGAACCCATCGGCCGTATGTACCGAACTCATATCCAAGACCCGCTCTCCGTGAATACCCCATGCGTTCGGCCGAAATACGGGCAACTCACCCTCCCTTCTCTATCGCCGTCACCTCCACCCAAAGGCTTACAAGGACTCGAAGGTGTGCAACGTCCTGATGATGAGGGAGATGAACAAGCGTTACTCGTCCGGAGGCATGGTGGTGAGCGCGCTTTTCCCCGGGTGCATCGCGGAATCCCCGCTGTTCCGCGAGAAGCGAGGGTGGTTCCGGGCCGGATTCCCAGTGTTCCAGAAGTTCGTCACCAGGCAGCTGGTTTCCGTCGAGGTAAGGCGTATGGAAGTCAACCAGCGGGCTGCTGTGTGGAAGCAGCAGCAATCTTCGGTACCTTGGTCGTGTTTTTTTTATTGGACAGCACAGCAGCAATCGCTGACACGGAACCCGACAGCGAAATAATGGAAATGAAGCGGTTTTGGCGACACTGGCCGCCACGGCAGTTGCTCGCTTGCGTAGAAGAGCCTGCTTACCCTGTTGTGCCGTTGTATCGTTCTATCGAAAAGAAGAAGGAAGAGAGCGTACCTCACGTACGCCCCAAGGGGGGACAAACCTTCCGCCGAACGTTGTTGTTGTTGTCTTCATATTAAAACCCGTTCCGATATCTCTACCCAGTACCCTCACATGTCCGTACTACAGTAAGTCACACGGGCGATTCTCGTGGTCACAGGCTAACTTGTACCCCAAAAAAGGTATACTAATATAAAACGTGGGGCTGTTCTTTCGCGTGCTGGTGCCTTGGCTAGCCTTGGATCCGTCCACTCGCTAGGTATGCCTCTTGCGCATTTTTCGATCCGTTCCGCGTGCGCTCTCGCTCCGTTCAATACAACTGACGAGAAGGCCATCGCCGGTCGCGTTCGCGATTCTCTCTCTTGCTTTTCCGCCGCTTCTTTTTTGTTTTCGTCGGCACTTTTTGTTTCTTGTCCTCTGCAGGAGGCCGGACGGCGTATGGCGGACGTGGTATCCTCGGACAAGTTATCGTCTTCCGGCACGTACTGGCGGTGGAATGGGCAGGACGCCGAGGCGACCGCGAGGGAAAATGTTGTCTCCGACGAGGCCATGGATGAGGCGCGATGCGAAAAGCTCTGGCAAATCAGCTCAGACCTCGTGGGGATCTAAGTCGTCTCTAAAGGCTTGTCCAGGCGATTAAATCGCCTAAATCGTCTCTGGGCTAAATCAGTCGAGGCGGTTTGTTTAAGACCCATTTTTGACCTCTCACTCGGTTAGGGTTTTTGAGTTAATTCAAGTCCGGGGGGGGGGGAGGCTTTTTTTTGAAATATACCTATAACCAAAGAAGACTGCCCGTTCGAGATAAGAGCACTGCAGTCGAAGTGGTTTCTCTTTCTTGGAACGCAGCAAATATTGCCGTGTTTTTTTACCCAAATACTCGGAGATAAAAAAAATCAGGCTGTTCGTGCTGTTCGTTTAGCCGTGCGCTTGCTTGCTTGCAGCGATCGATCTCACGCCCTCAAAGAGCAGTTGGTGTTTCGGACTGTGTGGTGGACGAGCCTCTTGTCAGATCCAGATGCAGCATATGACGTTCGCTTCATGGGCGTCAAATTGTTGTATGGATGCCGTTTTCAACTGGGGGGGGGGGCTTGCGAGAACCAGCAGCACCTAATCTGGAGCTTTCGAGCAAGGACGGCTCTAGAGAACTGGCCTGATCTTGCTAGGGGCGCCTGATTTTTTTCAGCGTGTTGATGAAGAGAGAACACGTTAGATGTCGACATCCCAATCTGTATCTTGCGTTCGGGGTCAGAGCCTCCGAATCAGCTAGACATGGAAGTACCTCAGAGAAGCCCGGTCTCACGTTGGTTGTCCTCGACATCCTACTAGGCAGAGCTCGTCGGAATGTCGGTGATTGTGTACAGGTGGATAGAGGTGGGTGCGTGCGACGCGGCCTATCTCGAACCATGGGTTAGGACTTCTGTTGGTGGACGCTCATGCTTTCCCCTCAATGTGTGGAGTCTTGTGAAGACCCATGCATGGAGCGTTTTCGTATGTTGCGGAGATCCATTCAGTCGGAAGCGCGCTGTTCCGGAGATCTGATCTACGGGAGTTCTTTTTTGTTTTTTTCAATACGAGATGAAGGTTTCCACCTGTGTCTCGATCCGGATGCACACACGGCAGCGGCAGAGTTGGTCCCCAAGTGTGGGGTTGACATGGCGTTCGTTTAGTGCGGCAGTCAGTAAGGTTGGCATTGGAAGAGCTTGCTTTGGATGGAACCTGAAATGAAACGTGCTCTTCGTCTACCGCCCTGGATTTGGTGTGTGGTTAGTTTGTGCGATGTCGTCGTGCTTTATTCTCGCGGAAAGATTTCAGGCTTGATGCGGGGTCGCGCTAGTAGTCGTTGTTAGATGGGATCGTGGTTATGATGGTGATCGATCTCCTGGTGTCATTTTTTGTCCGTTTTGTGTTGTTGGTTGGTTTGGTTTGGATACCGCGGGGAAGGTGGACTTTACGCGTTCTCTGGGTAAAAAGGGGGGAGGAAGGGAGAGAGATGAACAAGCTTTTCTTTTTCTTTTTGCGAGAGATTAGACGAAGACACGCTTTGTTTTTGCATCCACGTAAACGGCTGGCTACGTTTGGCCGCGTTGCTTGTACAGTACCGATAGTGTTGGCTTTCGTTTCCCAGCGAGGAGGTGAAGCGCGCGGTAGGCTGGTGTTAGCCTATCACTCAGCCAGCAGCTCTTGATTCGAATCCCTTTGTGAGAACGTATGATTTAAACACACCGTCCTCTTTGCGCTCAAAATCGCGTGCTTGGATACATTTTCCCTGCATCAGAAAGCCTGGCCGCATCTGTCTCCGGTTGGTCTGTTGAGACACCTTACTCCTCCACCTTGTGTACGAAGATCGGCTGGATCAGAACCAGAGTCCGACCCCCCGTGGGCGGCATGAAACGTCACTACGTCATAAATAACCGGCAGGTTGACCCAAAAACTACTGCCAGATACGCAGCAGCAGTTGCTGCCAATAGACTCGTTTATTTTCGTTCAGTTCCCCTTATCTAGCTATGGTGCGCCTGGACGAGAACACGAGAGACGTGGATGGATGTGGTCGAACAACCCCACCCAAAGCGGCCACAAAATGAGTCCTCCATCCATGTTTTGGTTCCAGGTGTTGGGAAACGCTAAACCTGAAAATAACATGACTCATCCTGTGAGACTATCACTCTGTGCCTAGAAACCGACATCGCTATGGACACTGCTCTGCTGTTGTAGGTCTAAGGAGACCCTCGGCTAACTCGTGTTGTACCAACGACAACGAGATACAAGCGACGTCCCCCATCAACGTTCCGACAACACCCAAAACAGACGGGATGCAGATCAGCTGAGAGAGAAAGGAATCGCGTCGTCGAAGGGAATCTTCTCCCCCCTCTCGTAAACGCCCACATACGCCTTGAGATCCACCATCTCCGCGATGCCGCCGTTGTCTCCCGGGGCGAAGATGCTCGCCCCTCCGTAGGCAGCAGGAAGCCGCTCGTAGTAGCTATTCGCGTGGCATCGCAATAACATACCGGCGGCCGAAGCAGGTGGGCGACGAGGACGGGGGCAAGGCTTCCGATCAATCGTGTTTTTGGTGAAAAGTTCCTCCGCCATGAGCAGAAGATAGAACCGACCGGTTCGTATGGTACAGAAGCGTAAAGCACCGAGACTACAACCAACCCCCCTCCTCTTTCTTCCTTGATATACCACCCCCCCCTAAAGGCTCGTCAAGAAGCGGCTTCGAGGTGGTACCTTGTTTAACCCCGCATCGGGAGGCCGATAGTTACACCAGTCACAGGAGCTCGTCTAAAATTCTACACTTTGCACGCCAAGTACAAGTAGCTGGAGCTCTGCATACAGCAAGGCGCTGACACGAAAAACAGTAATACACACACGTAGACATGTGACTTTCTCTTCATCTGCTATATATAGCCGTTCTGTCTTTCATCCGGAGAGTAGCTTAGCCTCTCCCGTCACGCTTTCGCACTAAGATTGACGCATTTTCATTGGTGGAGCCGGCTACGCAATCGACGCTAGCAAAAAAGAGATCAGAAACCACGAACACCGCATGCAATTGGTCAGCCGGCTAGCGCGGTCGATGCCATTGTAGCTAAAAAAACACATAAACACACCTGCCCAGCTTACTCCTGCCCATTCGCTCCGAGCCCTTCTGCATCCCCACCCCAAAACCATCCGAGCCGAACAAAGGGCCGCACTCCGGCTTATCCCAGACAGCGAGCCCCGCGCCCCCAATCTAGCGTTCCGTCGAGACACACGGTAAGCGGCGGAACCGAAAGATAAGAAGGGCGCATGGGGTTTGATCAGGATCCACTAAGGAGGAGGAGGGGTGGGATGTTGGTCATTTCGTGGGAGTGTTGTTGAGGTGCAGGTAGCGATGGTAGAGCCACGCCACTGCTCTGAAGGACGAAAACGAAGGCATAAAGAGCAATGAAAAATATACGAAAGGCGGCACAACAGCAATACGCTCACGGTTCACATCGGCCGGATCTTGGTAAAGGGCATGCTAAACAACGGGCCCGGGGGGAGTACTACATGTAAACAATCACTCGCCTCTAAGCAACTGTGATCAAATACGGCGCATGTGCCCCTTTCGAAGCGGATCATTACTGTGTTCTCTCCTAGAGGAGACACCGAGAATATTAGGGTGCTCTCTGCTGTCGTATTTTGAGCGGCAAGTTTGGGGCAGGGCGAGGGGTATCGTGCCGACCACGGGAGGCGCGTTGCTCCGATGAACGCACGTACGTCCACTCCTTCAACTCGGTCTTATATCTGTCCAGTATCAACACGAATGAAGAGGTATTTTCAGTGTTGGGAGCTGTTTGAACAAGAGCGCTAAGAGCAAGCAAACAAGAGAGAACAGAAAAAACCGTCACATCTGTGACGTTTGAGGTCGGTGCTCCTTCCCCCGCGTCGAAAACGGAAGCGTGCTCTGCCCGATGCGACATGGCATGGCCATTAGCCACACCACCAACTCCCACTACCTCCTCCCCCCCGCCCTCGTCGAAGCACCCAAAGCGTTTTCACGAGCTTCGCACCACGCCCTTGTCGCTAATGTCGCAAACCTTTCTGAGCTTCATCGCTCTCTTGTTGGTGTCCCCGTCCCGCCACGTGAACAAAAACGCCGACAAGCCTGGTCTGTACTCTCCGTACCCCACCCACCCTTTAGGGTTGTACCTGCGCCGGACACGCGTATGTGATTGGTTAGGCTACATCACGTTGCGTGTGTTAAGGTGAGTCCAGCAACTATAGTAGCGGTACCGGAACTGGCGGCGTTGCAACTGTCTCGGTTAAACCTTTCCGAAAACTTATCAGTACATATATTTACACATCTTCGTCGTCGTTGAGGATTCGTGCTTTGAAATTGGTCCTAGGGTTGTGGTATCTTCCGCAGCCTACGTTATCTATGACGTACCCGCCAACGACGGCTCCTCCCTTGGTTTTGCCCACCACGAGCCCGGGGCCCTTGAAATCCACCCCCTTGTGGAACGCGGCGGGTTTCCATCCGTTTCGCTTCGCGTCGTACACCAGCTTTAACTTCCGGAATTCTGTCACAAGAGGGAGGCGCCAGATACGTATTATAGCAGCTCAGCAGAACAAAGAGTAAACAGAACAACCGCTGTTTCGCACGCGACCGTACAAAAGAGGGGTTTCAGGTTTTGGGGGGCTTTTTAGCAACGCGCCGGAATACTTGCTAGACGTGCTTGACAACAATTTGTCACACAGTAGTGTTACCTTTCTTGTGTATAGTTGGGCTGTGACCACGGAAGGTGTCCGCGTCAGCTGACACCGGAACGGATGATGGCGATACTTGTAGCAAAATGTTATGTTGATGATACGACATGTTTCCATGCAATATGATGGAGCGAAACACTGGGTAAATTGTGTGATACGTTGTATGGATATTTCCAGGGTATGCTAGGTGTACCCTTATTGTATATGGCATCGCCCCCGGATTGGGGCGTGTATGAGAGGATGAGGCGGGCCCGCCGAGTTGCCGATACCCTATCGGCGTCTACGCGACAAGCTACTCCCAGTTCAGATAATCCTAACAACGGATGAAAGAAGGCCCTACGGAGCAGAGACTATAACAGATTTTCCAGTGAAGACAGCAACAACAACAGCAGCAGCAGCACCCACAGCAACCACAGCTTCGCGTCTCACACCTAGCTCGGTTTGCTTTAGCAGCGGCCGGATGACAGCCATGTCTTTGGAGTCCCCTTTAACCGGCTCTGCCTGGAGAATTTTCTCGGCGGGGTACTGGTCCGGAAACTTCTTGACCGTGATGCGATCCAGGTCCCCTCCAGGCGCATCGTCCTTGTTCCCGAAAAACATACTGCATGTGGGGAAGAAAATGTAGGGTGTGGGGGAGGGTACTAGCAGCAGCAGCGGCGGCGGCAAGCACGGGGTTTATAGAGAGCAGCGGCGGTAACCTTGAATACAGACAGCAGTGAACATCCCTTGCTCTGGGGCGGAAGGTGCCAGCGTCCATCTGTGTTCGCACGCTGGGGCAACCTTTACAGAGGGCGTGAAGAGAAAATAGAAGATCGTGCAGCCGGGTCTTGTCATGTCGTCAAACCAATCAATCACGCTTGCGGCGAGATCCGGCGCCCCCCCCACCTGCTTGTAGCTACGACGTAGCGTGACTGCTGTCCAACAAAAGACAGTCCATATTCCATATAGCTGCCGGTACGCACGCACGCTCCCAGCGCTCGTAGCTGCTGTTCTTGGCTGTGGGTTGGCACGTAGCACACCGGCATGGCTCGGATGGGTACCGCTCAAGCTCGCGTATAGCAAGGCCTCATGCGATTGTGTGTATAAATCTCAAGACAAGGAAAACGTTGTAAAATAGTGTCCGTCGATGGTTCGCCAAGAAACGGTTCTTGCATATTGGTACACCTCAATGACCAAGCCAGGTTTCTACGAGGGTTGCGCTTCTAACGTTCACACGCAACATACGCCTGTTCTGCCGGGCTGTTGCTGTAGCCTGCCTAGACTATTGCCTACACTGTTGCGCTCCTGTCTTGGTGGCGTTGTGATGCGGCTGCGTTCGCTGCTGTGAGCGTGTTGTTTACATATCGTCGACGGGAAATTGTCATAATCACGGATCACGTGATAGGCGTACGTAGGTACATAGTAAGTGGTGACCATGCACGGCCGGACACGGCCGGAGCATAGATATAATCCTCGCGGAACCAGGGGGGGGGGGGGGCTTCAGAACGGCGATATCTAGCTCCGGCTGCCGGCGCTGACAAAGGCCCTCCAAGGTTGGCTATTCAAAGTTGAACCGAGATGGCGTGCGGATACACGAAAAAAATTGCCGATCATGATTTCACTTCGTGTTCTAGGTTGGGAATGCGATCGGGAAAGCAGGTCGCAGGGGTATAGGTCACACATGAACATCTCGATGTTAGGTAAAGGCGACCGGTGAACGCGGCCGTAATGAGGCAACACTTTCCCACGGGCTTGGTCCCGCAGCCGTCTGGGTGTTCGGCGGCTCAACGCTTACCTCCCACATATCACGTGCAAAAGTCCAAACGCTTTAGTGATCCCTCTCTCCGGAAAAGCCGTAAATGAGCGTGGTATTTTCTCTCCACAGAACCTAGGTCGTGCTCCAACACCACCGTCTCGCAGCCGTACAAAATACTTGCATTAAATAAAAGGACAGCAGTGAAGTGGGTGTGGTACTGTACCCTAATTTTCTGCCGGGGGACGCTACTGTGCTGCGCATCTACAGCAGTGTGTGCTCTTTTGTTGAAAACCAAGGTCACCCTCACATCGCCTGGAAAGATCACCAATGGTTAAATTACCAGCGACCCTAGATAAAGCACACAACAAGTACACATCCCCGACACAGCAACCAGGTATTTTGTAGGGTCCCCTCCTGTTGTTTAGGCTACGTGATGTAATAAGGAGGACGTCATCACATGCACACAGGAAGCGGGGCAACTACAACAACATAAAGGCCGCCCCTTGGCTCCTGGTGCTTGACCACGCACCTGAAAAACTTCTCGATGACATCTTGTTGTTCTTCCCCTGCCTCTTCCTCTCCAGTACCTCCCTTTGCCCTCACGCATGTGCTTCTGCTGCCCCTGCTGCTGCTGGTACGGCATGTACGATCTTCATGTTCAACCCGCGTGACGACAGTAGCTGAGCTTGGTGCAGAGAGGGACCTGCAAAAGCAGTAGCAGTACCGCACAGCAGTTCCCGGTGCTTAGGTTGGGAACCTGTGATGAACGGGCAGGAGCACAGGTAGTTCCTTCCACCGTGTGCGTGCCAGGCGCCCCCGCTGTCTCTGTGTGAGTCTTGACGAGGCGAACACGGGTGGGTGCAGATAAGATGCTGCTGTTGTTGCACGCCAACAGCATTGTGTGCTTGTTACCTGTGCGTCTTGCCCAATGCTTGTGGAGGGACCGTGAACGAGTTCACACCCTGAAGACAAGACCACAAGAGAGCTGTAGTTCCTGGTGTCCGCATGGTATGTATTTAACCCCCAACGATAACTCCTGTGAGGAAAACAACCATGAGCAGGAAGCAGGTTGCGGGAGCAGAGGCATACGAAACGCGGCGGAACCTGTACCGTTCGGGGAACCCCCCGAACCCCCAAGCCCGAGCGAGACTATAAGTATGCATGTGTGTATTTATTTTTCCTAATACAGCAGTGGCCTGCTGTGTAGACTCGAGACTCGAGACCCAACACATCGAGACCACCCCCCCCAGCCAACCGCGTCTTGTCCGTGTCTCAGACAAAGGTAGTCGTTCTGTGGGATTGTGTAGGTTTGATTAGAAAATGACACCTTGTCCAACGGGGTTATTTGCTGTTTCAGATTTGTTGGAAAACGACAGTTGATTGGCGTCGACAAAGAGATTCCAAGCTCTACCCACAGACAAGCGAGAGAGAAAAAAGATAATGGCGAGAGCAGGAAAAGACACCCACCAAACAAAAGAATAAACAAACTGTGTACTCCTTACAATAAAGACAACGAGCTTCTCGGTTCCCGCGCCGAAAAATGACGATCTTCCGCGAGCAGCTCGCTGCAACAAAACGGCCTCTGCTGAGCTGCCACACCGAAGGGGACACCCGCTCAACAGGCCTCCGTCCCTCCCTGTCACTCTATTTTTCGACTTCCCCGGGGAGAGTGAAGTGCCTACCATCGACGAGAGCAGTAGCATCGGGAGGGGGAGGAGCAGGAGCAATAGGACGGGCCGTCGGACAAGGAGACGACCACCCTCCAACAGGTCGATACATGATGACGACTTCGGCGGTCCTTCCTCCTGTAGTCCGAGGACCTGATCGCCCACAGGCAAGAGGAGCGTTGCTGCGGATGAGGAAGGATTACCCAACTCTTCCTCTCCGAGCAGAAGCAAACGTTTCTGGTTTAACCGCCGCGACCGGGGCTCCACAACAACTCCCGAGTTCCTCGTTCCCGGTCTACGCATCAGGGCTAACACGCCTCTTCTTTGTGACGGTGTAAGCAGGGATGCTGTGGGTAGCAACGGCGGTAGCTTGCGGAGCCCGGAGATGTCTCTTCTTGTGCGACAATCAAAGACTACACACCGACCAGTAGAGGCCTCCTGCCCTGTTTAGAAGCCGCCTTCTAGGCTCAATTCCTTCCTCAACTCTTCTGCAATCAACGACCATCCATAGACCAGACAGTAGAGGCCTCCTGCGCTGTTTAGAACCCACCTTCTAGGCTCACACCACACCGACGTTCAAGCGCGCTCTACCTCTGTACCGATCTACAAGAGAGCTATTTGCATGATCCATCTATGGGTTGGTTAGCCCCCGAGGCCATTATTGTCCGCCGTATCAACCAAAACGAAAACAATTCGCACACCAACACCAACAGTGACCCCCCGTCTCCACCTCAGCAGCTCAGCAATGCCGAGTGCGTGGAAACTGTAACCCTAGCGCGATTGAACACACTTAGGAGTACTCAAGACAAACGCCAAAAAATTACGCCGGACAATTCAATTCAGAAAATTCAATCCAGTGGCGCCGTCTCAGACAGCGCCAACGGCCGTGACCTTGGTCAACAACTCCCCGGACTTCTGCAGCCGGACCGTGTCGTCTCCCCCTCCGATGGACTGCCGCCGACAAGAGCAAACGCGCAAGGAACAAACAGGGGAGGGGAGGAGATTCAACAAATAAGTAGAGCAACAAGAGTTGAGGTGGGGAGGGGCAAGGAATGATTCCCGGGCGATGCGGGGAGGCTATCGCTGGAAGCTCTCGCTAGTTCTGAATCTATGATATGTTCTTTCACCTACAAAAACAACGAATTCATCTCTTCTACAACAGTCAAGAAGTCTGGAATAGAATAGCTTGGAGGTCGTAGCGTTATGTGATGACCAACCTGTGTCCCTACTCTTCAAGCTGAAGCGAGCGTTGCAAGAGGAAGGTGGAGAAAACACACTCCGGCCGGCGCGCCAAAACGTGCCAAAGCGCATAACACGGCGTCCAGAATTGATTGACAACAACATCTGCAGAGAGAGAACGTTCATGCTTTCTTTTTGTCCAGCTGTAAGGCCGACGTTGTAACATCATTTTTCTTTCAGCCGGATATTACGGTCGCTGCTACTAAAAGAAACACACTTACAATATGTAGTCCACACACATCAGGATTACTTTCTTTTTCATCCCGCTTTGAGGCAGACCTGTTTCAACAGGCTAGCGTGGTCGATGTTAAACTATCAAAGGAAGCACACGTCACTAGGTCGTGGAGGCAACACGTGTTTCTTTTGCGATGGTGCTTGTGGAAGGATCAACTATTCTTGAGGGTGTGAGGCATGGCGACCACCCGATTCTCCGATCATCGCCCCTCTGTTTTGCCCACTTGCCATTTTGCCGACGGGATATTTTTTTTTCCTTACAAAAAGACAAGGCGCGTTCGTACTCGATCGCGGAAAAAAAAAGAAAGCGGAGATCACCTTCATAAAGGTTACAATCTCCCAACGTCTATTGATGGTACGATTCACTCTTTTCACACATTGCGAGAAAATAAAAAATAACCCAAGCTGTACTCCCACCCTCTCTCTGTAACCGGTTCCACCCGCATCCTACCGTTCCGCCAATGAAGACGTTCGGCACAGAGCGCTGGCCAGTGATAGACTGGAGGGCATCCTGGATGGCGCTGCCGTTGTCCACCTCGTCTAGCTCGATAAGCTGCTCGAACGATATAACGGCGCGCGAGTTGCAGACGTACGAGAGAGGCGTCAGCAGGGCGGATGAATGCCTCGACTGCTGTATTCCTGCCTGAGCTACTCGTTGTACTTGTTGATAGCTAGCTGGCCACGTGCAGCAGTGTTCGTGTCCGAGAGAAAAGTGTCACGGTACGGTTACTTGTTGACAGGGTTTGGGAAACTAGATATGGCACGGGCTGATACATGGCTGAGCGTGTCAACGTGTGTGTCCAAACTTGCTCTCGCAATAGAGCTATTGTAGTTGGCCGCCTTGAGCATCGGTGGCACACCTTTCCCAGCAACATTGAACTATAATAGTACTACAGCAGTACTGATGGCGATGCACCCACAGGCACTTTTTTCTAGTTTTCACGGGAGAGAGAGAGAGCTGGTACCTGATACCTGGTGCATTCCGCTCACCACGTACCTCGTACTTGGCCCCGACGTCCTTCAACGCCTTCTTGGCCTTGGTGCAGAAAGGGCAGTACGTCTTGGAGTACACCACCACGCCGTGCTGGCCCACCATTTCATTTACGGCGCTGAACGACAAGCGGGCCGAACGCGTGCAGCGGGACAACGGGGGGTTGCTGAGCAATTCACATTGAAGTAAATATCTTGCGGTGGTGACAGAGGGGGCCTCGACATGCCTGGTATGCACAGGGCACACCGGCCGTACAACACAGCACTCGGCCGGCGAGGGCATGGCGCAGCTCTGGAAGGGAAAGGGAATCTGAACCTATGGGGAAGTTGACCCCGTAGTCGAACCACCCAATCGAACTTACACTCTTAAACAACAGCAGTGACACGCGCAAGGATTACAAATTAACATCACGAATAGCACACGCAGTCAAAGGTAAAGGTGAAAAACTCTCAAACGAGTCAGGGGGGCGAATTTCCGGCAAACAAGCGATGGGGACACTTGCGGAACACTGCTGTCAACCAAGCTATTTTCTAGAAACTCGGCACCATAAATACATGACTGCTGCAAGGTACACGCTTGCGGCAAACTGTACCCTACATACAGTCCGCCGGTGGTTGCAGCACAGCCGTTCAGCCGCGGGCGTGAAATCCCGAGCCTCTTTTGTCACACGAACATGGTTCCACGATACCAAAGCCGACGCGAAAGACGAGACGATCATCAGTATACCGCTGTAGCTTCTCGTACAAACCCACTTGCGCACAGGATTGGTCTAGAGTCTAGAGTGTACCAGGGTCGGCAGATAGGTTTGATCTCGGAGATTTCGGGAAGAAGATTTCCCGCAGCACCGGCATAGACTATGTACACAACACCGACTACAGCAGTGTACAACAACAGTAACAGACACGCTTCTCGTCCCGGGGGCAGCCGTCTAGCACCTGGTGCGTGGCTACATCGGAGTAGAGGCTTCGTGGGACATCACCAGCACGGACGTCATGATCCAATAGCTTGCGAACAGCATCGCAGCTGTCGTTTGCGTTCGGCGGGTGTGGTATCTAATGCGTGCAGCTGACAACAGCAGTCCCTCGGGTCCTTGGGTGCCGTCTACTGCGTCATGCTGCAATGCACTGAGGCCGCCCACCTTCTGCCCATGGCCTACGTCTCCCACACGATAGCAATTCCAGAGCCATATAACACCAGACTCAGGCACCACCTATGCATAGGTCTGCTTGATGTTCAACATTCGAGTGCTCAGGCGGACGTGGCATGACGGACAGAAGATACAACAATCAAAAATCATCGCTCATCGCACGCCTCTAAAACTCACTCGACGTGCTCGCTCATCTTGCCCTTGCTCTTGGAGTTTCCCGTCTTGACTAGCTGCTTGTTGGCGGCGGAGGCTGCCTGTCGTTATAGTTGCTTGGGACTGGTTGGAGTGTGGTAATGAAAGTCAGCCTAAAGGAAGGGCGCGTGCACTGTCAGATGTATGCGGTGCCCCCTACCCCCCTTCCTGGTATTTTGCGGAGTCTCTCACCACGGCGCGCGACGTGTTGCCGGTTGAGCTGGCGACCACGACTCCAGTGCTGCCTGTGGCAAACTCCCGTGTTGGTGGCAGTCGCTTCTCCTCACACCCTTGCGAAGGAGAGAGAGAGAGAGAGAGAGAGAGAGCATACTTCAATACAACCGCAGCAGTCATCTTGTTGCGGCAGCGAGAGAAGAAGTGCGACGACTGGAGCGCGGCTGATCCGAAACGCGAGAAGAAACAACCGAGAGAAGAAGCAACCTCGAATACTGCAACCTGACACCGGCCGACATATCATGACGTTCCAAGAACTTCTCGGGCCGTCGCTGAAGGACTCTGCCGAGAACGACGTCCCCACCGCGGCGGCCCTCGAAGGAAAGGTCGTCGCTTTCTACTTCTCCGCCAGCTGGTGCGTCAGTGGGGTCTCTAAAGATCGTAGGACACGTGAATTTCGAAGTTCCGTCCTGTGCTGACGTATTTTGTATTTGCCTTTGAGCTTCCTCGAAGCGGAACCAGTTCAGGCAGGTGTACTCTCCGTGATGAGCCCACCCCCGGCGTCGCGCCGCCCTGTCACGGCCACGAAGCTTGGCGCGTGGGGTGGTGCAAACGGCGCCTTGCTTTTCAGTCCAGATCGACCATGCCTTTTTCCGGAAGAATTGATGGATTCCCCCGTGATTTCTCGCCGCGAGAGCCAGGTGTGGGCCATGCCGTGGATTCACCCCGCAGTTGGTGAAGACCTACAACGCCGTGCGCGCAGCGGGCAAGGAGTTCGAGGTGGTGCTCATCGGTTCCGACAGGAAGGAGGACGACTTCCTTCTGTACCATAAGGAGATGCCGTGGCTGGCGCTGCCTTTCCCGGACAGGTGAGTGTGCGACGACAATGTATTTTCCGTTCCGATAACGCCGCGTCGCAGCATGTGGGGCGGTTATCGTGGGGATTTGGGGATTTTCAGACTTGTGATTGGCCTCGTTCTCACTCCATGGAAGAGTCTCTCCTGGGCTTCACCTGTGCTACACGGCAGAGTCGGGCCTCGGCTGCGTGGAAACATATTTTGATGCGTACGCGTTCTGCTCCGAATTCCCCCGCCGAAGCTCAGACTAGGTTACGGACCGCACAACGTACAGTAGACTAAAGTAATTGCAGTATTAATAGTTGTTTGCCGTGAAGAGACACAATTTCAATCAGCAGCATAGGAGCATAGTGGCGCTTGAGTGGCGCTTTTGTGTTCGGATGTCCGTCAGTAGTGCCAACAACCTGTGCGTTGTGGCTCTGGAGTACGTGAAACTCAGGAACCGAACACTTCGTGTAGTCCTCGAAAACATGCACGGTAATTGATTCATTAGTCGAGAACCGGGTACCCTGTCGACGGGTTATTACCGTTCATGTGTGCAAGCGGTTGTAACGATTTGTCCAGATGTAGAAAGAGCTTCTACAGCAGCACTGCGGATTACCCACAAGAGACGAGTGGCAGCCTGAACGAATCGTTAAATGTTGTCCGAAGGCAGTGATCGTTGCCTAGATATGACGGGCAAACCATGATCTTCATGTACGCGTATTGGGTTGGGCTGCGGCGCCCCGTGCGGCGTACCACACAACAAGTCCGTTGACTGCCGTGCAGCCCACTTGCTGTTTTTTTTTCTGTCTATGCCATGTATCATTCTCGTACAATACCTCTACACCTCTACCCTGTTCAATAGCCATGCTGGTGGAGGTCCCGTTATAAATACGACGAAAATATAGCCTAGAATAGTCAACCAATGTTCTTGTCTCTCAGACAGCCACCAACAGCGAACACAAACGATGAAACAGGGCAGCGCTTCGTTCCCCTTGGGGCTCATTCCACGCTCTCCCCCGCCCCCCCCCGGCCTCCGCAACCCACAGGGAGAGAAAATCCTCCCTGAGCACCAAGTTCAGGGTTCGCGGCATCCCCGCCCTTGTGATCATGGACCAAGACGGCTCGGTCATCACGCCGGACGGGCGCGAGGTGGTGGGCGACGATCCTGAGGGCAAAGACTTCCCATGGAGGCCTAAACCCCTATCGGAGCTCATCGGGACCGAGTTTGTGACCAAGCCGGGGACCCTCGCGGGGGAGGAGGTCGTCCGCGGCAAAACCTTGGCCCTGTACTTCTCCGCGCACTGGTGAGTAGTGGTGCCGTGTTGTGTGTGTCAGGGTGCAATCCACTAGCTTACGAGTCAGCTCTACCGAGTTAAAGGGCGCCGTTGGTGCTTTTGTGAAAGGTGTACGACGTATCCCATCAGACTACAAGCCAGCAAGCAGTAGAGAAGCCAGCTATATGTTGTGCATCTTACAACAATGTCATGCGGCTTTGGTGAGGAAAAGTGTGATTTGGTGTGTTGATGGTGCGCATCTACCTCGTGCTCCAGTGTTGCGTGCAGAAGGGCCGCAGAAGGTTGCAGAGAAGGCGACAACGGCGGTCTCGTAGTACAGATACGATTTTACTGCACATGTTTTTATTGTTGTTCTATTGCATACCTGTTATTTTTTTGAGAGACGTTTCTGGGGCGGTTGCGCAGTGTCGTTATAGAAAAGTGGCCTCAGTGTATAATACCTAAATGTCTATGCCGAAACTTGTCAAGCTCCGCCGCTAACTTTCCGTTACGAGCGCAATTTTTTCTATGGTTCGAATCTGAGGTTTACAGGTGCAACGTCCGTGTTTTGCAACGAAGGAAAAGTTGACGGTGTTGTTTCTTTTGGCCAGGTGTCCTCCCTGCCGAGCGTTCACGCCACGCCTGGTGCAGACGTACAAGGACCTCAAGAAGAGGGCGGGAAGCGACGACGTCGAGTTTTTGTTCGTGAGCTCCGACAAAGACCAGGCGCAGTTCGACGAGTGAGCAACACACCTTGCTCCCTCCCCTCGAGGATTGTGATATTGTAGTGTTGGCGGTATTTGATGGCGTCGTTTTCCGGTGTAAGGTGTGTAGTTGGCATGCCTCGTGCTTTGTGCAGCAGTTGGTCCACTCCCCGCGCTGTTGGAAGCGCATGGAGCCTAACGCCGCCGGAGAGCAACCCGCGGATAGATCGTGCTTGCACATTTGTGGAGCTCAGTTTTTTTTGTTACCGTTGGTTGCTGCGCGGACAGTTACTTCCGGGAGATGCCGTGGGCCGCGATCCCTTTCGGCGACGTCAACCGGAGAAGGGCGCTCGCCACGCGGTTGGGGGTACGAGGCATCCCAACCCTGACCACCATCGACCGGGACGGCGTGGTGATCAACCAGACAGCTAAGGGGGCAGCGATCGCTGACGCAAAGGTGCGGCAGGTTGACCGGTAGCGTAGCAGGCCTGAAACGCACAGAACTGGGTGTGCTTGAGGTCACGGACGAGCTGGGTCTCTCTGCGATGCTCTTTCGGGCGTCCTTGAAACGCTTGGGTGTCGTTTTCCTGCTGCTGCTTCAGACAGCACGACACGTTGTAGCTCAGCCTGTGTTGCTGCTCAGCCGTGGTCTTAACTGGAACAAGCCTAACACGTATAATAGCTGCTGACTCGAACATGCATACACCCGCGTATTCGCGGTCGGTGTGTGTTTTTTTATTATTACCATCGACCGTGCAAACCGGCTGAGCAATGAAAAGACGTCAGTCTCAGTGCGGTTGAAAAACACGAAACACTTGTATGCTATTAACTGGGACCCGTGTGTGCGTGCGTACGTTGCGACACCGCCGCGCAGGGTCTGGAGTTCCCGTGGTGGCCGAAGGCCGTGGAAGACCTGTCGGTGAACAGCCAGAGTAACGGCTTCCACGTGCAGGAGATGCCGTCGCTCATCGTCTTCATGGAGGCCTGCGACGACGTAGATCAAAAGGAGGTGAGAGCCTGGGTGGTCGTTGCTCTTGTTGTCTGCATCCGTTCACAGTTGTTCTTGTTGTTTATCTACGACGAAGTCTGCATGGCATGGACCGGCGCAGCCACTCGTCGGTGAGGGGTGGTCCTAGCTCTGGAATCAAGACGTTTTGCGGAAAGTATCAGTCGTTGTGTCGTGCGGACGAGATATGCTTGAAGCCGAGTTGAGACTTTGACGGGGTGTCGTTCATAGAATAGCAGCGCTGATATTGGTACCGGTATAGACCGCATACTTTCGGGAATTTAAGTTCTTCCCGAACTTCTTGGCTCAACTGGACCCCCCAATAAATGTATCTACGTGCTGTTGCTTTTTTTTTTTCGTATTGTCGTATCGACAGGTGGAAGAAGCCCTGCTGCCGATCGCCACGGCGGAGGCGGAGGCTGCGAAGGCCAACGGTGGCCAACCAGTGTTGATATTCTTCACGGTCAAGTCGGAGGCCAGCTTGCCGACACAAGTCCGCAACGTGTGCGACCTCAAGACGGTACCCGATTCGCCCCAGGTACCGGCCAGTGCGATGTGCTTCTCCTAATGTTGTTGCAGTGCAAACGAGGATGAGAGCGTGTTTCGTGTGAGGTTGACGCATCTTGGTGCGGAGTGGAGGGTGTGCTCAGGTAAAGTCATGCCGTAGTCGTTGGACCATTGACCTCGCGCCCCTACAATGCCGGGACGGGCGGAGGGGGATTTATTGAGCGCTGAGATTAGTTTGCTGGCTAACCTAATCGGCTCCAGCCGCGATTCTCCGATCACCTTTACCAGGAGTGCAGTTGGAAATGACGTGGGGAGCATGGTTGGTGCTTCTCTCGGTCCTTGTTGTTCTGTGACCCAATTAGTGCCGCACGAAGAAGCTCCGATTAGTCGTTCACCGCCCCGTTGTCAATGTCGCCGAGCCCCCCTCCCCCCCCCTGGGTTGTGTTTTTGTTGTACTGTGACCTTCACCCCCCCCCCTCCCCGGCCACTATTGTTTTTTTCACCAAGATGATTATCGTCAACATCCAAGGGAATGGGGCGTACCACCTCCCGCAAGGAGGCATATCAGCTCCCGTAAACGCAACGACGATCAGGGATTTTGTGGAGGCCTACAAGTCGGGGGCGCTGGAGAGGTTTCAGCTCTCCCGGGGTAAAGGTTAAGGGGCTATATATATAGGGCGCTCGCGAAGGGGGGCACCGCCCCCCCCCCCCCCGCA